CAATACGTCCATCGCTAAAATGTTCCGAAATCAAGAACACTCGTGAACTTTTAGATTCAAAATCCGAATCTGCCCCGATCTGAAGGGATTCTTTCGCTCCTTCTTATGTCTCTGCCGCCTTGCATGAAAGTCAGAATCATAAAGGATTCTACCTTCAAGTTCAGACATTCCTTCCACACACTGCACCTTACTGTAATTAATCTTTCTACGGCATTCTCTAGATTTCCAGTGTTGAACCGAATGTTTTCCTAGAGCTGAATGAAGAGAGCTTAAATTATTATTATTCCCATCCTTTGCTGTCCGGTTCTGCCTGTCCACGCCCTTGGAACTAGTGAATGCAGAATTATTTGTCAGGCCCACAATATTCTCCTCCACTACCTTTGTCTCTACCCTACCATCCAACATGGGGAATTCTATACAATAATCCTTCATTCCCTCAAAACCACGTGCAGTGACACTACTTTTCCTCTTGTCATTTTCTGCCCGTTTCTCTGCGTGAACCAGCACATCCTCGTGTTCCACTACTTCCTCAATTTTCGATTGAGCCATCCCCTGACCAGCAACAATAATCCTCAGTCCCGAAAATAATTCCTCCCCTATATTCCTTTCCTCCTCAACCTCACCCGACAAGATGTTGCCTGGATGCTATTTAACAACTGGGAAAATTTTGAATCAATCAAAACTGGTTCAATCAGGTGGTCACATTATTCATTTATTTACTGCAACAGTATCTTTTGTTTTCAGTCAGCTGTATTGTATACTATACGAGTACATGATTACAACTGCAAAGAAGTTGAAGTTTGTTCAAAACGACTGATAACAATAAAGAAAACATCAATTAAAAATCTCGTAACTAGTACTATTTAACATAACTCCCGAGTCTGATTAACATAGCTTAAAACATTCTTTTTCCTCTGCAATCAAACTCGATCATATGCAGCTTAGGCTCTGCATTTTTGGAGGAGAGGGTATGAGATCTATGTTAGATTCTCTAGACTCTAGGGAATAATACTCCCAAGCTAGGACAAGTTGTTACCAAAGCCAAGCCTCGTTTTCACTTTCGTCATAATTTGCCTTCTTAACATAGAATCTTCATCCGACACAACACACAAAATATCCATAATCAAGTAGGGAAATCAAGAGGGGGACAAGGAGGAAAGGGTAGACATTATTAAACACTATGGTCATCCTATGGATGTCAAACACACAGTCTACATATTCCACCATGGTGGCATGTCCATGTTAGACACCGGTATGAGAGGGTTCAATCTCGTTCTGGGCTTCATAAGTGTGAAGCTTAAATATCTTTTCTAAACTCAAATTTCTTTGTTTTCTTAAAATTTTCATTTCTGAAAACTACCATCAATATCTCCTACTAGAATCATTCTCAAGAGTCAAATGTATTCAAATTAATCCAAATTAAAGAAAAATTTCTCATTTTATATCTAAATCAGTCATTAGCGTTAACAAAGTTCTTAAAGTCAAGGGATAAGACCAAGTTAACAAATCATTTCTACAAATAGCATGCCTTGAAAAGATGCGGTAAACTGGACCTTGTTGATCAAATACCAACCAGAAGAATCATCTTGCTCCTCTGTATGACATCAACAGCTAAACAAGACAACTACCCAAACAAAACAAAAAACTACACTCTTCCTTGTAGTCGATTAAATAAAGAACGAAAACATACGTAAGAGCTTAAGCTTAATAATCCGAGTACGCAACTACAACAAACCATACTCACAAGCACTTGAAACATATATCAAGATGCCATATTTAGCTAATATAAAAATCAAAAATATGTCACCATATGTAAAAGCTTAAGCTTTAATATGAGTATGTGCCTACATATAACCATCCTTACCTGAATGAATACACAGTGCAAGCATATGAAACATAAATCAAGATGCCGTATTTAAACCGGTAATCAAAAACAGTAACGAATAACAATACTCCACTTGCTAGCTAATAACAATGTCACCATAGGTAAAAGCTTAAGCTTTAATACGAGTATGTGCCAACATCTAACCTCACCAAATGAGCACACGGTACAAGCATATGAAACATAAATCAAGAAGCCGTATTAAACCGGTAATCAAAAACAGTAACAATACTCCACTTGCTAGCTAATAACAATGTCACCATAGGTAAAAACTTAAGCTTTAATACGAATACACGACAACATCTAACCGTACTCACCTGTATTAACATACAATGCATGTATATGAAACATAAATCAAGATGCCACATTTAACTAGTTACGCAAAACAATAACAATATCCCACTTACTACTAGTATAAGAAAACAATACTCCATTGATAAAGCAAGCAAATTGAGCAGCAACGATTCAGTTGGCAGAACATACCATATGCACAGTGGACGAAAACAGGCTGATTTCGAGCTCGCATTCGACAAGCCCACTTCACAGCCGATTCGATCTGGCCAGGCTGAGGTGCCCTAGTGTCCCAAGTTGGAACACATAAATATGAATGACCCTTGAACTCCTTCAGTCTTGGGAATTCAGACGTGCAATCAATAATAGCAGGGTTACCAGGCGGCAACAAGCGAGGTGAAGCAGGCCAACCACCAACGTGTAAACCCTCACAAACTTGGGTGTAAGGTTCTTCACCACTGAGGAATCTTCTCACCATTGAAAAAGCTCTAACGAAGTACAGATACGGGAAGAACAAGATGGTTGACAAAATGGGGAAAGTCCCATCTGGGTTTTGCCCAATAGCATGGGAAGGTTGATTGAAGGGTGAGAAGCAATCGAAACGAGCCATGAAATCAATGATGCATACAAAAATGGTATCGACAACACTGTGAACCCAAATCTACTGAAGATCAGATATAATGACATCCATGTTGTTGCTTTTATAGCTATTAAGATTGATAATCCTAACCCAACATTGATTCACAATCAGAAAGCGGAAAAGAAGAAAATCCCACACCAGAAATCGAAAGGAAATTTGACGATTTCACAAATTTCTTTATCTTTTTGGCTACGAAACTGAATTTTTTCCCTCAGCCCTATTCTGACAGAAGTCCAACTCTAGTGGAAGAAGTTCCCTTTGCTACTCTTCGAATGAAACTATGTCGGGAAAGGTTAAATTTGGTTAAACTACGGAATAGGTCATTGTATTATGAGTAAATTTAATGGATCATAGTCTTTCAGAAGTTACAGTTTTATCAGTCTATGGTGTTCTCTTGGAAAGGTCTCTTCTATGATTTTTATTTCATTAATATGTAAAGAAGTAAAATAAGAAGAACATTTTATGTTTGAATTATTTCAGTATGTTAAGAATTGTGAGTAGAAAAAAATAATGAAAGTGATATCAACGTAAAATAAAATATGTATAAGAAATAATATTTAATGTGATTTGACTTTACATACATCTACGGATAAAAAAATAAATAATTCACTATAATCGTAGATATCACTAAGATTAAAAATACATGATATCACAAATTTCATTCACATTGACCTTCAAGTTTTCAACAATTTTAGTTCTTACATAAGTCAAAAATTCGTTGAAACATTAACGTTAACGTCAAGTCTTTAACAATTTCAATTCTTACGTAATATTTCCTGAAACACTACTTGACCAATTGAAAATTACTTTTCTTACAACTAAAAATTCGTTGCAGTAAATTTTTCCTTGCATATATCCAAAATCAGTAACAAAATCCACATAAACAAATTCTTTTAAACTTTATAACATGAATTATAGTCTCAATATCACTTATTAAGAATTTATAAGCAAAAAAATAACTAAAACGATATCGAATAAATCTATCTGAATTTATATTAAAAGTAATTATAATTGTATCTTTTTTTTTTTTTTGAATAATTCCTATTCAAGAGGAGGACGAATGAGAATTTTTGGTCTTAATATATTGAACGCACAACTTAAAAAAATGTCAAGTGAAAACTTTTAATCACATACTCTAAATATTGTTACAATTATAGTTGTATCATATGTATATAAATAAATAAATATAAACAACAATTGTTACGTTATTTTTTTATATAGAAATATGTGATGAACCAAGAACATGACATCGTTACTATGAATGGGCATGGGACTCGAATCCGATGGTTTTTGACCCGAAATGATTTTTTTTTAAAAAAAATCAGGTTTTGATCGAGTCTGTTTTTTAAAGTTGATGTTCGGGTCGGTTTAGGGTGAAAACACCTTACCCGAAAAAAAATTTTAATATATATTTAAGATTTTTTCAATTAAAATCGTTGTTTTTATTGAATAAATAATTTTTTATTATTTTGGTCGGATCGGATTCTGATTTTATCTCAAAAATAACGGGTGGAAGGTATATATTTTTTGTGTCGGATCGGGTCAGATGAAGAATGTAAATTTTTTTAGTCGAGTTGAATTAGTCAAAATCCGACTCATGTCCATCCCTAATCGTTACTCCAAAAGTTCCATATAAAGACTTATCATTAGATGTAAGGAAGGTCACGCGTTAAAAGAATAGCTTAGACGTTAGATGACTGTGTGATGTAAGGGCGGAAAATCAATTTTAGATACTATATAAAAAAAGTATGACCTAAGAAATGGGATATGATATTCGTTAAACTTGTTAACTACCGCTACTCTCCTCAATTCAATATTCTTTGTTGAAATCTTTCTTCTTTATATTTTCTTTTTATTCTATAAATTACTTTATTGTAATTATACTCATTGTTACGAATTAGCGATATAGATTTGAGTTCAACCTATCACTTGGTTGTTGAATATATTTTTGAAGATTGAACAGTTCCCATAGGTAGGTTATTCTTAAATTTAATTTAAGATAATATATATTTTAAGTTCTGTCGTGTATTATAATAATAATTATAATTTATCGATTATTATATTATTTGTAATTGTGAGACAAATAAGTTAAAATAAGATCAAGACGGAGCATATGAAAACATCATATATTAATCGGATTTATTTAACTCGAACAAAGTATTTGATCCGTAAGCAAATCTAACCAACAACAATCATGGGCATTATTCATCTAATCGACGTTAATTCTAGGAGTTGAGTGTTGCGGTCATTGATGGTGTATTGGTGGTTGGATCAATCCAAGATCAGCAAGTAGCCATTTTCAACATGCATAGCTCTGTACTTTGACACACTTTGGTCCAATGCTTTTCTTATTGAATCCCAATCAACTCCTCTTTCAGTCACTTCATTAATTTCACTATACACCTGCAAATGCAAGTCATAAAATAACATTAAATAAATAATCATATTTTTTTTACGCAAGAATTTATTTAAGGAATACTTCCTATTACAGATGCGTATATGAAAACTGTATAAGAAGACTGTTCAACTATGTATTTATTTATTTATACATGCATTGTATTTTATCTTTATTTTTTATTTTTTAATTGTCGGAGGTCTTCTACGAAAATTACTTTCAACATGGAGTTAAGGATAGTCTACTACCCTACCTCCCCCTTATCCCATTACATATGAAATAAGGTTTTTTGTTGTTGTTGACATGTGGACAATGTTCATATAATCCTATTACTAACACCGTCAAGTAGAGGGTCGGTATAAACTCCGAAAATAGAAAGAAAAAAATCCAGGCGATTTCAATCGCCTAAAGTTCTCTCATTACTTTCTATCAACAGTTTCATCACTGTAATTATTCGCCTGAATCGAAAAAATTAAATTGTGATCAACCAACACAATCATCTTTATTCTATCAACAATCTTATTTTTAAAACTAAATTTAACTCTCGATATTTAAAATAAAATCAAATTATTTCTAAACGAAAATATAGAACAATAGTTTAAAATTTTAGTTGGATTCACAGATTACTATGCTAACTTAACATTATCTATTTTATATGTCACATAATTAATAATTTTGAAAATATTAAAATTTTAAAATATTTAGAAATTCACAAACTTAATATGAAGTACATGTTAACCATTATACATATTTTTATGTCAATGGTGTCAAATTTAAATTTTAGTCTATTTTATTAAAATTACTGTTTATTAAAAATCGAAGGTCCAATTTACTAATAAAAAATAGGGACTAAATTAATAAAATAATATAAATATTGAGTACTAGATTTATTATTTTGCCAATAAAAAAAAGTCGAAACCCCAAATAATCCTAAGCAAATTTATAGGATACCTTGTTCAGCTTGAGAGAATCTTCTCCGGAATTGCTCCAGGCAATAATCCACCTGACCTTATCTCCGACAACATACGAAACAGCTCCGACCGAACCTTCGGAATCACCGAAGTGCTTAAACTCAACCGTCGGCTGATTTTGAGACACAGTTTCCGGTAAATCTCCGTAACCATGCCAATACACGAAGTTTTCCAGCTTTAAATTCTGGCCGGAAAAGTTCCCAAACTGGCACTCCGTGAAGAACAGAACGCCAGTTAAATTTGCCGACGATAAAACTTCAGGATTCGCAGCCATGATTTTTGTGTCCAAGCTTCTCGGAACCGAGTTTCTATAAAGCAATGGAGACTGAGCAGGTATAGAAAGAATCGAAGCTGCATCATTTTTCACGGCCGGATTGGGGGTGGACGCCGCTATAGATTTGCGGCTATTGGTCGCCGGATTTCTGTGGATACCGACGGAAAGTTGCGCTGCTACTGCTGGGTTGATGGCAGCCATGATTACAAACTTTGTTTTCTATTTACGGAATTTCTAGAGTATTTGGTTTGGTTTGAGTGTCTTGTGCTTCAAAACCTGCATATATATAATACTTTGCTACATGAACTGGCCATAAGAAGACAAGTAATTTAATTCTATTTTATTTGATGCAATGTTAAATTTATTAAATGGTAAATTATACAGGCCCTTAAATATAAAATACTGTTTTGTCGAGTTATTCGACCACTAAAAAATATAAAATACCTATTAGGGATCGATTTCTGCATATGGGGATTATCACCTTGGGGAATTGTGTGCTTTGCAACGGAACGATGGAAACTCGATCTCACCTATTTTTTGAAAGTCAAATGACTGCTAATTTATGGGAATCAATATTGCTTCATAATGGGCTAAAGAAACCAATTTCAACCTGGGAAGACATTAACATGGGCAAGCAATACATGGAAAGACAAATCTCTTATCTCAACAATTTTAAAGTTTGCTTGGTATGCCAAAATCTATATCCTATGGGAGGAACGTAATTGACGATTTTTCCGAGGATGTACAAGGATTGTCGAAGACCTTTTTGTTTGCATCAAAGATTATGTATCTATCAAACTGCGGGGGGAAAATATTAATATGTCTGATAGTATTAATACATTCCTATGTAATTCTTGGGGTATTGATTAACCAATCTTTTGTCTTGTAAGTATGGTGTACATATGATTTTTGTGATCAGTTATTTTATGTAGTTGTTCTTGATTCGTTGGGTAATAAAAATTGAATTATCCAAAAAAATATATATATAAAATAATTTTTCGATTATAGGGTGTTGTTTTGTTGAGTCATCTGACTATTAGAATTTACAAAATGATCATTCGACTGCTCATATATTTCAAACTCGTCATTTTTCGTTAAAAAAATAGTGGTTATCTGAGCTGGACGTTAAACTCTTAACTAGGTTATGATAAAATTTTATCTCATAATTGTTTGAACAATATTCTATAGATCAACTCTTCGTTTACATTATGTCATCGAGTCAGTGCTCGAAAGTAGTGGCAATGCTAGTATATATCACTAAAATATGATTTTATCATATCATAGTCAGTATATTAACATCTATCATAGACAACCTTTAATTTTTTTTAACAGAAAAGGATAAATTTGGAACATATGAAAGTTGGTCAACCATTTTGTAACACTAATAGTGGGAGACTCAACAAAACAACACCTTATAGTTGGGGGAACATTATGTAATTTTTAATAGTCAATGAACTCAACAAAACAATGTCCTATAGTCGGGGACCATTTATGTACTTTATCATTTACTAAATTAATTTAAAATTAAGATCAAATTGATAGAAATATGTATAAGTAACGATGATTAAATTTATAATTATATTTATTTTATTAATTGTCACGTGAATTCATTTGTCAAATGTTAACGAATGATGATTTGATTGACATCATTTAAATAATTAAATAATTTGATTGATAAATTAAAACAACTATGGTTAAATTAAAATACCTTAATAATTAAGTGATTATAGATGTAGTTTTACGTCAATGATGTTTATCAGTTATTCAAACTATTAATTTTATTAAGATACAAATAAACATTCATATAATCGAATCAATTCATATTTTTTTAAATGTTTATAAAAGACTAAGAAAATGAAATTTTAAATCCTTAATTTTGCTAATTGTGAGTGAGGGAATTCTAGTTAGGGACACCCAAGTTTCAAATATGGATAAAATTGGAGCTTTCATGGATGGTCCCTCCTTATGTATTAACAAAACCATGTGAAGTGCATGTTCAAATTTTACAGACCGACCAACTCATTCTTATTTTATCTCTCCGTCATAGCCACCCATGTGTATCACATTCTGTAGGTGGTAAGTTAAATATTTACAACAATCAATTTTTTTTTTACTATTTTGATATAACACAGTTGTGTACGAGCATACAAGTAAACAGTTCTTCGACTATTAAAATGATATTTATTTATTATTTTGTTGATGTTTTTATTTTAAATTTTATATTAGATTTATATATGCGATTTATGGTAAGAAATAGTTTTCTCATACGCTCGACTTTGATTTACGATTGTTTGTTGCTTTCAGTAGTTTGAATATCACATGATATTGTTCATTTGTCGATGCAATCAATTTTGTTTGTATCTACTTTTTTTTAGTTTTTTGGATGTGTTTTTAACATTTTCTTGTATGATCTTAAGTTGCTAGCATTTTGTGTCAATGATCATAGGAAATATTCTAATTATGTGTTTAGTTTACGTTTATAATTACAAATCTTTATTGTAACTTTTTTTCTTCAAATAAAACTAACGATTTCTATTTGCATCAAAAAAAGAAATAAGATTATTATATTTTTTTTAAAAATTTAACATCAGTTGAATCTTACTATAAGAAGATTAAAGTAAAATGTTGAGCGTTAAAATACTTCATAAAAAGATCAAAATGATTATTTAGAGAAATATGAAGAACTATTTTTAGTATTACGCTTATTTAAAACATATGATTAACTTTTAAACATGTCTAATTATATGGACAACTTGGATTTAATGTGTTTTTATAAAATAAAAAAAAAGAAACTTATATGTTTTGAATTTGCGACTTTCCTCCAAACGATATTCTATCCAAAATTCGAATTTAATCCCTCCTTGAAGTGCAATGTGTCGTATAGATTTTAATGATATTTTTTTGGTTTTTAACATATGACTTCTTCAAATTATTCTTGAAATAAGTATACATGTGTTTAAAGTTTGATTAATAAGTTTAGGTATACTAAGGGTTAGTTTAACATTTTTAAAAATATATATATATTTTTAAAATATGTTAATTTTTTTAATTTAAGATTTAAGTTTTTAACATGTTTATAAAAATATTTTTAAAATATAAGTTGGGCTTATTTACTAACGGGTTAGTTTAAATTGTAAGCAACTTGATACCGCTTAAACAAGTCTTGAGTTTGAGTCATTATTATGTATGCAAAAAATTCCCGTTGGAAGACTCACCTACCAAAGTCAGGTATGTGACACAGTTTGATCTGGATTAGTCAGGGCAAAACCCTAAAAAATTAAGAGAACAAAAAAATTGGACTTATGTAGGGATATATATATATATATATATATGTGTGTGTGTGTGTGTGTGGGAATGGAGTAACCTAAAAATTATTTAGGGAAATAGGGTAAATTTTATAATAATTATTAAGTTCGTTCTTAGATGTTGATGATTTTATCAAAGTTGTCGGGTACAAAAAATTGAATGAGTAAAAATCATCTATAATTGTTACAAAATGAAATATTAAAAAGATTTATCTTAAAAGAAATATAAATATTACATGTCGTAAATACGTATTAACACACATAAAAATCGAGCAAGTGACGACAACAACGTGTGTGAGATTTATCTTCAATCATTTATAGGAGAAAATATAAATTATATTGGTAAATTATTTTATGCTTATGGACATATGGTAAAGGATAACCATAAAAGAAGTTATAAAATCTCATATTGATCAAATATTAACCACTCTTTTATGTTTATGGATATATGGTAAAAAAGATAACTATTTTATTGGATGATTAAATTTATTAAATTATTTTTAATTAAAATTAAGATCAAATTGATATAATTACTGAAGATAAAATGCGTTATTATATAAATTTTCTTAATTACCAAGTTAATAATTCTATTAACGGTCAACGATAGGTGATTTGATTGAAATCTAATTAAGTTTAGTAGTCCAAATAGAATATAGACAATAGTTTAATGATCTTAAGGGTAATTTATCCTAAAATTGACATATTTTGGGCTTATAGGTGATTTGGAGGCGGCCCAATGGCAGCGCAAAAAGCTTAATCGCCGCTTCATATTTGAGGTTTTAGGGTTTTGTATTTTGCATTTTTGCGCTTGCTTTCTCTCAACCAAAAATGACTGCTCAGACCGATAAAGAGATCGAAGAGATCCTCGCCGCTCAACTCGACCAGCAAAAAATCGATGTATGTTCCTAAAATTAAGATTTAGTATTTTCTCTTGATTTTTATCCTTTGATTTTTATTATTATTTCCTTCTTTGATTTACAGTCTGAGCAACCTACTGTTGAAGATGACGACGAGGAAGATGACGACGAAGACGAAGATGAGGATGATGCCGAAGGTGAATATTCGTTTTCCATAACAATCATCTTTTTTTGAGCTTTCTAAAGAAATTTGTGTTAAAATAATTTGAACGATGCTATTATTTTTATTTGATACTTTGTCAATATCGAGATGTGCTTAAATCTTATTTTAAGATTAACTTGTTTTAGAGTTTGATTTTGTGATGTGCTCCCACTTGATTCACAAACTAACTCGAGTCAATATTGAGATGTGCTTAAATCTTATTTTAAGATTAACTTGTTTTAGAGTTTGATTTTGAGATGTGCTCCCACTTGATTCACAAACTAACTCGAGTTCAAATTGTTAACCGAGTCGATCTAGCTGAACACGAGTATTTTAATATCGATTTGAGTTCCTTGACCCTTGTTTGTATATATATATGTTTGGTCTTCAAAACGTAAGCTCTATGCTCTTTTGAATTGGATCGACTTGATTTTGCTCCTACATTGTTGATATAATGTTGGACTTGGTAGCCCTGATAGGAAACCAAGCTGTGTGATCAATATTACTCCTGATTTTTCCAAGCTTACTCAGGTTTGACAATATAAACAAAAAGTGTTGGTTACTTTTGTGTTCAAGTATGAGTATTTTAATCCTTGACCCAAGTAGCTCGTGAGCCTAATGTATGCTTGAATATTGAGAAGTATATTTGTGTGTATAAATGTTTGTGTACGGCCAACATGTGTCATTTCCTTATGGTTTTAAGTTGCTGAATACTCGAGTACTGAAAGGTTTGATTGTTTGATATGGCCTTGGTTTTTGCTATTTGAGGCTAAGTTAATGAAAAAGGATAAAAAAATTACATGGAAATACTCTTTTTGACATGTGCCTTGAAAACCTATGTGTCACTGTGTTCAGAATTTCAGTCAGGGTAATAACATGACAATGAGTTATCCATGAGGGTATCAATTTTTTATATTGTGTCATGTTTTAGGACATCATGATGGAGAAGGAGATGGAGCTGGTAGGTCAAAGCAAAGCAGAAGCGAGAAGAAGAGTCGCAAAGCTATGTTGAAGCTTGGGATGAAACCAATTCCTGGTGTTAGCCGTGTCACTGTCAAGAAGAGCAAGAATGTGAGTCCCCTTTTAAATTTTATTTTTAAATGGCGGTCCTAGTATGACATTTGGGTCATGTTCTCGTATTTCGATTCTTTCCACTGATTCTTTTGATTCTAAAGAGACCCCAATCACAGAGAATGGAATTCTAAATCTGAACCGACTTAAATTAACTCTGGTTATATATATATATATATATTGATAACTAATTGTCCTTGTTGATTTCAGATCTTATTTGTCATCTCGAAACCAGATGTGTTCAAGAGCCCAGCATCAGATACGTACGTAATATTTGGAGAAGCTAAGATTGAGGACTTAAGCTCGCAGCTACAGACTCAGGCTGCCGAGCAATTCAAGGCTCCGGACCTAAGCAATGTGATATCAAAACCCGAGACATCGACCAATGTCCAGGATGATGAAGAAGTGGATGAGACAGGTGTTGAGCCCAAGGACATTGAATTGGTTATGACACAAGCAGGAGTGTCCAGGTCAAAGGCTGTCAAGGCACTAAAGGCTGCTGATGGCGACATTGTTTCTGCTATAATGGAGCTTACAACCTAATCATAGCGTTTCCTTGGCAGTTTCTATTTGGATTATGAGAGTCGTGTACCTCAGGTCAGATATCCCTCATTTTACCGCAACTGTTTTGCCTTCTCTCATCTTTTTTTAGGGTAATGTCATCTTAGCTATGTTCTCGTTTGTGTTGTAGTAGTTAAAACCATTTGGGAGTACATTAATGTTACCATAATTATCTCGTTTCTATAATTTTGATTCTCTCCGTGTTTGTTACGATCTCTCCTTCGATGTTTTACCTCAGCGACTATGAAAGTATTGATGTTTTAAACTTCGCATATTATTACTGAACATGATTTTCAAATATATTAATAAAGAATCTAGATATGATAAAAAAGTTTAAACTAAATAAAATTTGAAGATAACTCACCCCAAAGATGTATGCAAGTGAGTATATTAAATTTAAATTTTAAGAGAGACGAAAATAAATTATCTATAGAAAATATATAACAAAAATTTAAATATACGAGAATTTATGAATTTTATGAGCGATCACTCATCCTCCCTTGATTTATTCCCGACTCACATAATTTATATAAAAGGATAACATTTTAGTACTCAAAAACTCGAGGCTCGACGTTTGCCGTTGTCAATTGCCAAAGCCTAACTGTTATTATAAAAATAAACTAATTTGATTATATTCAAAGCTTAAACAAGAATAGTAATCTTACAGATCAAAGGCAATAGTACATTATTTATCAAACACCATAACACAAAATTTAACACTTGCAAAAGGGAAAGCAAGGCCAGTATTCAGATTGACTGATTAATAAGAATATATAAATTATACCTATTGTTATATCTCACTTTCTGCCGCAGTGTTGCCTATGCTAAAATATCTTTTCGCTATAATCTAAGGAACGAGATGACAAGCAAGCTAGAGGCGATTACAACAGAAAACAACCATATGCCAAACGATGAGAAAACATAAGAATAAATCCTATAAATGCTATAAAAAAGGTAATCTATCAAGAGCAAAAGCTTGCAACTTTTACCAGGCATTTGAGCAGAAAGAACTGACAAGCTAGTGCAGGTTTAAATTCTATAGTGTGAAAAAAAGAAACAGATGAAACCTATTGTATTTGTTATTACACCTGCCTACAACATTAATCCTTTGCTCTTTAGGCCTTAGAAACAAACCGGCATCCCGAACATCGAGCATAAGCTTTTCTACAATAAAAACACTAACATGTGATGTGAAAAACAATACCAACAGATACAATCGCCAACTCCATTTCAGTTTCCTCGCAAATGCAGCCGCTAAAGGAAAAGAATACAAATTCATTATAACAAGAGAAAACCCAAAACTTAGTGTCAAGTGTCAACATATCGATTACATGAGCACATTATTCACATTACAATACCGCTATGTCCTGTATGAAGAATACATATCCATAAAACTAAATGTAATGCAGCTATATCACGATTATATCAAATCTTGACTAGAATCTGACCTTGAATAACATGATCTTTTATATTCACAAATCTGAAACAAAACAATAACCACTCATGAGACAAAATGTGATATTCTAGAAGCCATATTCGCTACCTGAGCCTGCATTTGAGCTTCCTTAACTTTCACAGCAGTAGCCCTATGAAAGAACTGCTCCCTTGACAACAACCTCACATTCCTCAGATACTGATCAAACGAAACGGACCCGTCTTGCACTGCCTTATCCATCGAATAAACCACATCCTCGATAGCTAAATCAGCAGCTGTGCAATCCAACATTTGTTTAGAAAGAAGATCGGCACAATAAATTGCCTGATCAACATCCACGTTATTCTTCCCCAAGTTCTTTGTTTTCCCTTCATTATCTATAACCCAACTATCCAACACATCCGTATTCATCAAAACAAACTGTAATTGTTGTTCTAAAGCTTCCTTTTCATCTTGCATCTCTTTCAACCCTTTATTAATCTCTTCCTCTCGCCTTCTCAACACCGCCTGAGCCGCAAACAACCCTTCCATTTCAACTTCCTTAGCTTTTCTCAACCCAATTATATCCCCATGAACCATCTCCACCAACTTATTCATAGCATTCCTCTTATAAACCTCGGCAGCAGCATCCGTCGAAGTAGGACGAGCTTGCAAGTGCTGCGGAGGCTGAACCCTCTCATATGGTGAAGGCGGGTATGTCCCTGCCGCCGAATGAGCCACCCTAGGCCCTGGCGGCGGCGGGGGGTGCCCATAACTAGATGACATGGAAGAATTGATTGAAGGGCTAGGGCTGGGAGTAGGGCTAGGATTAGGATTGGGACGACGTTGCGAATAAAGCGGCGGATCACGCGAAAAAGCGGAGCTCAAATTACCGACCAAATCGACAAGATTAGAACTTGGGTAAATCCAATTATGCAAATAAGGGATCGAGACTAACCCAGAGGGAGAAACGTTAGGATGGGGTCGTTTGATGATCATGTCGCGCGTGGGATTGACGTAGATGGCGGGAGCGTAACGAGGGTAAGACTCCATGAGCCAGATGATGATGGGGATGTTGTAAGTGACGCCTTGGAAAGGCATGGGGATTGTGCCGTCGGCTTGGAGGAGGTTGATAGACCGGCCGTCGTTGTGAGTGAAAGTGGCGGTTTTGGGTTCGAGGGAAGGGTAATTGGATACAAGGGAAAGGAGGTGCTGACGGATTAGCCATTTGGTGTCTTCGGTGTAAGGGAGGGAGGAAGGAGCACGCTGGGATAGGACGGAGGAAAGGAATTGTTGTGTTTGCTGAGGGTTTGGCGGCGGAGTTAACGACGGCGAAACCATTTGGAGGCGGTGGGCGGTGGAAAGATTGTATCTTAGAATTTGCTTTAGCTTAGCAGAGAGGAGCCTTGGGGAAACCTTTTTCTTCCTTCTTAATGAGAATACTTTGTACTTCTATTCAAAATTTAATAATTATTTTTTATATTATTCATAATTATAAATTTTTTTAACTCGATCATAAATCAAAAGATATTATTTATTTAAATATATTTAAATTTATATATTTTATAATTTTTATTTATTCAATACTACGACAATTTCACCAATAATCTCCACAAGAACAGGTTCCATTCTTGAAGTGGTGAAATCGCTGCATATCTCTCACTATGATTTCTCTCCCTGTCACAAGGGAAATGTATTTTGTTGCAGTATGACAGTCACCACAAACTCTCAGGTTCTTTCTGACATGTATAGGTGTGCCGTTGCTGGTATTCAAGAGACCGAACGCGATAGCTAGCCTCTCGCTGTGTGTACTGTTTAACTGCTCTTTAACGTCGTCTTCCACGTCATGAATCGAACTCGTGTCCGGCACGTAACCAGCAGCTTTCATCTTATGTCCCAGCTCCTCGAGGAAAGCATAGATTCTTTTAGACTGAGGGTGGTTCGTGGTTCCGGAGTAGAAACTGTGAACTTCATTTCTCAACTCGACGACGCTGCAGCCAGGTGTTTTCTGAAGCCCTTTCTTTTTCATCATAGTTCTGACTTTAGCCACTTCTCCCCACATTGAAGCTGTTGCATATATGTTAGCAAGAAGTACATGGTACCCACCTTCATCCGGATTTAATGCAAACAGTTTGCCTGCCGCCTTCTCACCAAACTCGACATTTTTATGGATTTTGCAAGCTCCCAACATGGCACCATATACGTTAATCCCTGGCTCGATAGGCATCTTTTGAATGAAATTCCAAGCTTCATCTAGTCGACCAGCTCGACCAAGAAGGTCAACCATGGCTCCATAGTGGTCCATTGCAGGCTCTATGCCATAATCTCTCTTCATGCTGGTAAAGTAGCTACGCCCCTCCTCCACCATACCTGCATGGCTGCAGGCGAGAGAACGCTAAGGAACGTAACATCATTTGGTTAACAGTTCCCTTTTGCATTTCATTGAACAACTCTAAAGCAGCTTTCCCGAGCCCATGCGTTCCGTAGCCATCTATCATAGCATTCCATGTTGTTACATGCCGCTCATTCATCCGATCGAAAAGCTTCCTGGCGGTGTGAATTTCTCCACACTTTGCATACATGTCAACGAGTGCAGTCATCACAAAAATGTCATCATCCAAACAACTTCTAATACAATATCCATGAATCCACTTTGCTTGGCGTGTAACTGATAATTCTGCCAGAGCGGGAAGCACACTAACCATCGTAAATGAATCCGGTCTTAAGTTTCGAGAATGCATCTCGTAAAAGTAATTTAAAGCATCATTAACACATCCATTTTGCGCAAAGCCTAAAATCATAGCATTCCAAGAAACAAGTGTTTTACCGTGCAATTTTTTGAAAATATCCACGGCAAGGTCGACTCTCTTACATTTGGAGTACATGGAAATCAAAGAGTTCATAACAGATACATTGTTACCAAGTTTCAAACTGTCGAATAACTTATGAACAAACATTCCACGGTCAAGATCACCCAAATCCGCGCAAGCATGAGCAGCTCCCATTATAGTAACATCAGTCGGTTCCACTCCTTCATCCAACATCCTCTCGAAAATAGCCATAGCTTCCTCAGCATACCCACTTCGAACATAACCATCGATCATCGAATTCCACGAAACGGTAGTCCTCTGTCTCATCCCATCAAATATCAATCTCCCGGTTCCAATATACCCGCATTTCGAATACATATCAACCAATGCAGTATTCACATTCACAAGTCCTTCAAAACTAGCTCTTAAAACATAACCGTGAACCGACCTCCCGATCTTAACCGACCCCATAGTAGCCACGGAAGGCAAAATGGAAACGAGAGTAATCGAATCAGGTCTCTGCCCTTCCTTTTGCATCCTAACAACTAAATCCAAAGCAAGTTTAGCTAAGCCATTCTGCGCAAAACCAGAAATAATCGTATTCCAAGAAACCAAATCTCTGTCAGGCATTCTATCAAACATCTTATAAGCTTCTTCAATTTGTCTACATTTCGCATACAAATTAACAACACCAGTCATTGCAAAGACATTCGAAGAAAACCCATTTTTTATCAACTGCCCATGAATCTCCTTACCCCTCCTAAGCTCCCCTTTATCCCCACAAACTTTCAACAAGTAAGTAAAGTTATAAACAACAGGCTTAACATTATCAACTTTCATCCTAACGAAAAACAACAAAGCTCCGTGCAACGATGAGTGTTTTGCATACCCTTTAAGCAAAGTGTAATAAAGAACCTCGGGTTTATCTTCGATGGGTTCGAAAACACGGGCAGCTTCGGCAATGCAACCGTGGTTACAGAAGAGGCTGAGGAGCTTGGTCTGGAACAAGTGTTCGGTGTAGAGATTGGATTTGATTATGTGGGGAAGGATTTGGTAAACTTCTTTAACGTAAGTTGAGAGCTCTAAAAGGATAGCTGCTGGGTGTTTGTAAACATGGAGAGGGATTTGGGTTCTTTGAGAAAGGGAGTGAGGATTGGGTTTTGGGGTCGGGAATTTGGTGATCGGTGGAGAAGAAGATATGAGCTGAGAGCTCATGGCTGTGTTTTTATTTTATCTATGTAATATTCTCATGAGCTTGAAGTTCATATGCTCGTGGCTTCTTCAAATGGGAGGACCGGAACTGGATTAGGATTGTGAGATTTTCTGTCTTCGTTACTTTGGATTGTTTGTGATTAATGGGCCGAACAGAGAAAATCATGAATATTAACAGATGGATCGGATTCTGTCGAAACTTAGATTCAGATCAAATATTTACTCTTAATTATATATGATAGAATTTAATCTGGATTAGAATTTAATTTATAATATTTTATATATAAATATTATTTTTTATTAATCTGGGATAAATATAATTAGTATTTATTCAATGATAACTCTAAGTCATTTGACGCTAAACGCTCACACCCCTAACGTTTATAAAACAAATCTTAAATTTTATCAAAAATAATTTCACATAAACTTATAATCTTTTATAAATAAATATTTAGTTATTAAATTTATTGATATATACATAACCATTAATAAACATACATTTATACACTTCAGTCTATTCAAAATTTATCATTCATGAATTTGTAGCAAATATAACAGAGAAAGTTTTGCTCATGTTTCGACAGAAGAAAAGTCTTAATATGATTCCTTTGAGTAAATTATAAATCTTATCGTTTAACTTCATTTTAACACATATTTTATTTATTAAAAATTATTATTTTTAATTTAATCACTAAAATTTTAAATTATTCATGTTTTATCATTTTATCGTTAAATAGTTAACAATATTATAACATGGAATACGAATTCAAAGTAACATAATTTTATAAAAGTCAATTTCACATCGGAATATTATAATTTTAAATCCATGTAAAATCTTATTTTCTTCTCTCTTTTTTCCTCATTTTCCGTTTTCCCTCATTCTTTTCTCTCCCTCGAGTTGTTCTATTGTTTGTACTTTTTAATAAAATAAGGACAAAATCATTACATCAATTCTTTACATTTTAAATTTATTTCGATTTGGCCCCTTACCTATGTGTGTTGTTTAATTTATATTTTTTCCAATTTTATTTGTAATTTTACATTTTTTTCAATTTTGTCCATAAATTTATATTTTTTACAAATTTGATCCATGAATATTTTTTTTTGTAATTTACTCGAAATCATATACAATTACAACTTGCAACTCAACAACCACGAATGATGACAAAATAATTAATCCAAAAATAAAAACGACCCGACCTGAACTCAATCCGTATCCGGTAAACATTCGACCTGAATTTTATCTGTCAATGATGTGACCCGATCTGAACGAGATCCGACTGAAGTCCACCTGAACCTAAATTAACATGGTCTTTATCTTCTTCGGACCTGAACTGTTTTGACCTGAACTGACATCGATCCAAACTGAAAATGACCTGACCTGAATTCGATCTGGATCTGGTGTCAAATCAACCTGAAAATGACCCGGGCTAATTTGATATGTATCCGACCTGATCGAGTCAAACCATCAAATTGACTTGACTTGACATGTACTCGATTTTATCTGACCTGCCAAGATCCGACTGAAATATATCCGATTACCTGATTTTACATCCTTACATGATGGTAAGGAGGTCCATAGATATATTTACGAAGAATATCTAATAATTGAGGAGTGAATATCTAGCAATTATCAATCTACGAAGAATATCTAATAATTGAGGAGTGAATATCCAGCAATTATCAATCTGCACAATAACTCACTTAAATTCATGTTACCATGCAATTAAGTCCTTCAAAACACCCCAAAGTTCAGCTTCAAACACTAAAATGTGCCCGATGTACATGCGAAAAGCAAACAAACATTCTCCGGTTGTTGCTATTTCTATAATTCAATCGTCAAATAGAAAATTCCATTAACTTTTATGTTAAATAAATACAGAACCCTAAAAATGTACATGAACATGAAAAATCCCACTTTTGTAATTCTTTCTTTCATTGATTTTTCATCCTTATGGCTATTTAGTTATAAATTGATATTTGTATTTTATATTAAGATTTTATATGGTAAAATTTTAAGATTTGGGTTTCATTTATGCATAAGATAAAGTGAATTGTGGAGAATAAAGGTTATATCGATGGACTGAATTCTCTTTAAGATTCATGTGAAACGAAGTTTTTTTTTTTAATGAAAGTGAAATGAATGTTGGATCCAGACTTAGGGTATTGAAATAGGTGATTTGAAACCTTTGGGTAACGATTATGAGTGATGGTGACTATCTAGCGATGATCAATTACGATAAACGATGTCTAATATCTGAATTGATGTATGTGTAGCTCAAAAATTGATAAATTAATTTTTTTTTTAAAAAAAAGTAAATTTAAGTAAGCAAAACAAGAATGAAAATTAAGAAATTTGTAATTTACCCCTTTTTTTCATGCTGGGTTCTGATCCTTGAGCCAAACCGTTAATTTTGGGTTGACAATGAAACATATACCTGTTTATAGAGGAAAAGAATAATTTCGAGAATCAAATTTCAATATTTACAATACATTTCTTTATTTTTAGGAAAATATTCAAGACGTGAGATGAGAATCACACTACCTTTTTTTATCTTTACGAACATATCCAAGACGGGAGATGAGAATCGAGTTAATGACTCGTACTGAATTATGAATCTAGTCTCCCTTCGTCGTTTGTAGTCAATCAAATACATATTTTCATAAAAAAATTATGAAAAAAAATCGACGAAGAGAGAAACTAGATTCATAAATCAATAAAAGCGCATATATAAAATTGACAAAATAGTAAGTATAGTAATAAAATACATTATATCTTCAAAGAGAAAATATGTTCGAACTTCAAAAATTAAGAAAAATGAAGGAAGCTAGATTAGGGATAAAAATATAAAAGGGGCAAGAAGTAAAGAAGGAAATAGACAGATGATATTGGAAAGCACAATGGGCAAAACATATTTATAAGCTGCAAAGTCAACCAAAGTCTTGCAAAGGGCAATAATGGAATAGAAAGATTGGATAATTTAATAAAATTTTGTGAAAATTCCTAAAACGTTCACCTTTATTATATATTGATTTATAAATCCATGATTTGTTTTCTCAACTATATATAATTTTATCATTTTAGGGATCAAGACGCTACTAACCCTAATCTTCACCTCTAATTGATAATTTAATTTAATTTTTATTTTTTTATACAAAGTTGTGTTTATACCTCTTATATTTTTAAATTAAAAAGGAAATTGCTTGGTAGGCCGCATTATTTCCTTTTTTTTTTCTTTTTAAGAAAGACCAAGACGGCTGACTCTAAGTTTTACATACTCCCCCCATGTGAGCTTATTCAACACATATGTGTGGACCGTCTCGAAATCATCAACATAGTCGCATAAACTTATATAATCTATTTATACTACTTTATTTGATTTATATATTTGTATTGATCGACTAATCCAAATCAATTGAAAAGGAAATTGCTTGGTAGGTTGTATTGTTTCTTTATTTTCTTTTAAAAGAAGACCAAGACTAAGTTTTTTGTACTCCCGACATGTGAGCTTAGGATCGTCTCGAAATCATCAACATAGTCACGTAAACTTATATAATTGATTCATACTACTTTATTTGATTCATATATTTGTATGGACCGATTAATCTAAATTAGGTACTACAAAATTGATGATAATTTTATTAACTCAATTTGTTCTATTCGCAAACATCAGGATTTGAACCTCTGATTTTATTTAAGAAATTTAGTGTTTTCATCCAACTAGACCAACTGGTTGTAGGTTAGGATATATTTCTAATATTGTTGCAAAATTATATTTTTACTCTTTTAAATTTATACTCTCACCATAAATAATTCTATGATAATTGAAAATGGAATCATATTTAAAAGTAACGTAGAAGGATGCTTCTATTTCTTTTCTCCAAGTTAACCTTGTCAAAGTCTTTATGATTTTTGTAATTATAAACTAATAATTATATAATATTAAATATTTGAGTCCTCAAATTATTAGTGTCGTAAATAATTTGAAGTTTGATTTTTCTTTTAAATGCTTGTTAGACGTGTGAAGGTGAAAGATGGAAAAATCAATGAGGACTATATTAAATATTTGAGTTAATTGTATCACATATTCTCAAATTATGATTCTAATTTTAGATTGGTCGTTAAATTTTTAAATGTTCCGATTTTATCTTTAAACTATGACTATCATTCTAAATTGGTCCCCAAACTCTTTGAATATTATAATTTAATCCCAAACTATATGTATATACTAATCACATCCCTTGTAAATAAAATTGTTAGGCCAAGTTATATTACTATATGCTTGAAAAAACAAAATTTAGGTTAAACTATGGTTGAAACTAATTACAAAGTTTGGGGACTAATATAGAAAGAGCGTAGTTTAGGGATGAAATCAGAATGTTCAAAAGTTTAAGGACTAATTTAGAATGAGAGTCATAATTTGAGGATGGAATTAGAATATTCAAAAGTTCAAGGACCAACTTAAAATAATGATTATAGTTTGGGGACGCAATTAACTCTTAATATTTTATTGAAAAAGAGGTTGAAACGAATACGTGGAACAACTACGAAAGTAATTCTGAACCACATAAATTAGGTTTTTATCTTCCAAAATTTATTATTATGTTTTTAAAATCTTGACTAAGACTTTCTTTAAATTTATTTCAGTAAAAATATAAATATATATCATCTATGTATTCTATTGATTAATTCTAATAAGAGGTTAAATTAGAAAAATATTGTGTCTTGTCCTCTTTAAATTAACAAAATCGAATACAAACATGAATAATAAAACACGTTTTTGACTCTATTATCGAGGTTAATTCAAGTAATAATCAGTTTGATATCGCTTAAGTAGATTTTGAGTTCAAGACTTTGTGTATGAAAAAAATCCAACTGAAATACTCACCTACTAAAATTAAATGTCTGACGCAAGTCGATCCAAATTAAGGGTCTGTTTTTTTCCCGTAATTGGAATTACGGAATTGGTTTTTCCCCGAATTCCCGTGTTTGTTTCACGTAATTCGTTTTTCGGAAAATGTTTTCCCGTGTTTGTTTCACGTAATTCGTTTTCCGGAAAACGTTTTCCCGTGTTTGTTTCACGTAATTCGTTTTCCGGAATGTA